GAGATGGAGAAACACAGGGAGAGAGATGGAGAAACACAGGGAGAGAGTTGGAGAAACACAGGGAGAGAGATGGAGAAACACAGGGAGAGAGATGGAGAAACACAGGGAGAGAGATGGAGAAACACAGGGAGAGAGATGGAGAAACACAGGGAGAGAGATGGAGAAACACAGGGAGAGAGATGGAGAAACACAGGGAGAGAGATGGAGAAACACAGGGAGAGAGATGGAGAAACACAGGGAGAGAGATGGAGAAACACAGGGAGAGAGATGGAGAAACACAGGGAGAGAGATGGAGAAACACATGGAGAGAGATGGAGAAACACAGGGAGAGAGATGGAGAAACACAGGGAGAGAGATGGATAAACACAGGGAGAGAGATGGAGAACACAGGAAGAGATGGAGAAACACACAAAGAGTGGTGGCATCGACAAGATACGACGGCTGGCAGCCCCGAAGTACAAAGTGAGGGTCTCGTATATGTACCCTGACTTCATAGTTTGTGATCATACCCACACTCATTGATGCAACAAAGACATTACGATGTTTTTCTTTAATTATTGCATCAATGTCGGCGCGTAGCCACTGCACGTAAACGCGCCATTATGATCTCGAGGTACACAATCCCTCTTGACGCTGACCCAATTTACACACCACAGCCCCGCACGTTCCGTCTCCTCCTCTAATTACATTAATCTCGCGCCCCAGCTCACCCCATCATCCTTCCTGATGAATCCCACGCCTCCCCTCCAAGTCTCACTGCGTCACCCATCAATGCGTCTGTCCCTCTCGCTGCTCCACTGGTGCGCTCCACACACAAACCCTTCCAATCCCCCCCCACCTCTCTCTTTGCTCAACGCGAGCTCAAGCTGCTTTTGAATGCATAAGGGTGGGTTTAACCTTTTTCAAAGAGCGCATTTAAAAATATATATTTAACGTGCATTATTGAATTCTGTAATTGTATTATGCAATGCACATAGTACAATACTGTTCTCTAAGGGACCGTGTTAGCAAACATCAAATTATGAAAAATAATAATGGGTTTTACCCTTTCTTGCAATACAACAGTTGCGTTAAGACGTTCAAACACCAAAGAGACATCTTTTGCAAGGAATAAAGTCTGCATCAATATTGTTCTCATTGAAATATACATTTTATAGTGCTTGGCAGCCAAATATGTAAAAGTACAGTTCTGCAATTACTTGTTCACACCATTTCTGGCTGAAGGGCCTTCCACTATTCCAGCCTCTTCTTCCACACTCGCCAGACGCTGTTGGAAGAGGTGGCAGTAACCACGCTGTACAACCACCACCGCCACCACCACACGTGACCTGCCAATCAGCCAGCCGTGCTGAACCAACTTCGACTGCTGGCTGGACAGAGGGCCGAGTGAATTCAGAAGCATTGCCATTGTGTTAACTGCTGCTGCTGCGGCACTGTGCCAACGAACCTGTGACCTCTGGCTAGGGCTGAACGATTTGGGGAAAATATCTGATTGAGATTTTTCTGACAGATATTGCGATTTGATTTGCGATTAAAAAAAAATAAGTCAAGCTGCAGTTCAATATTCACTGTGTAATAGATTTTAAACATGGGATGGAACATTACCACATGATACCATCAAAATATGAACTGCTCTATATATTCTAATGCAAGAATGAGAACTTAAAAGATATGAATTGCTTCCAACATGTATTTATTTGAAAAATAATTGAAATAGAACAATCAAACATAGAACAATTGTTAAGTTAAATAAATACAATTATACTAATCATAATACAAACTAAAACAATTCCAATAAGAAAGTAATCGGACTTTTCAAATTGCTAAAAATCGCAGCCTTTGCGATTTGCTAATCGCATTGTTTCAAATTGCGATGTCGATTTGAAATCGATTAATCGTTCAGCCCTTCCTTTGGCTTGCAAGTCCATTGTTGCTGACCTTTACACCCGTAGCAGCACCGACATCACAAATGCAGTGTTCGACTTTAATCGACTAGAATTAATGGATTAAGTAATTAATTAATTTCAGTTGTAACTCTGCATGAAGATGAATGCTGATTTAGACTTAACTATGATTAGCGGGTATAATCTCGTAACTCCGTATGCTGCTGAGCACCAACTCTCAGGCATGGATACTTAGAAAAGATAAGTCACGTTTTTGTTTACATTTAAGTGTTCGTCCTTTGTTACATCTTCAATTACTTGTAGCCACTGCTCTCAGATGATGGGAAATGGCACGAAACGCATAACAACCCAAATGGCCCCTGGCCACAAGAGGCATAATTGCTTTCTTAAAGTTTTGCAAGAGTTGTTTTTATAGTAGATTGCTTTTGTGTTATTTGCTCACATACCTATTCTAATCACCAAGGAAAGTCCTTAACGCTCGTGACGTCACTCCACGTCGACCAGCCCCCCTAATTAATATTCATGAGCAGGTGACGTCCTCTAAATGGACACTCCCCCACCCCTTCTCATTAATAATCATGATACTCAACATCGAACAGCCACCCTCATTAATAATCATGAGCAAGTGACGTCCTCCAAATGGACACCCTCATCCATTCATAATAATTAGCGGCTGACGTCACTCCACATGGGGGGGGGGGCGAGGCGCCTCCTCCCCCCTCCTCGGCGTCAACTCACAACCCTCACTACAAAGGCAGAACCCTCACGTCATCACGTGATCTCCGTGACGCTGTTGAGCCAGAAGTAAAAAGGACGTCATGCTGAACAAGGGATTATAACCTTTAAATAAAATAAGTCTGTGTCACCGCGCCCTTACAAACTGCGCGCACGTTAATGCCATGAATATCACGTCGTGGTCTGATTTTCACTTACAAGTTTCAGATTTACTGTAATACACCCGTCCTTGGACGGGCAAAAGGCTAGTATTGCAGGAAATGACACTGCATTACAGTCCATGCTGTGCAGCATAAATTCTCTTATTGTTGTGTTTCGTGTGTCGGTCCTTCCTCCGCACCTCCGATTCGCACGGTTGTCTCCGTGTGGTTGTTTTTTTTTTGCGAGACTCTCGTGACAATTTGGCATTCACGTCCATGATCGGCCTTGAGAAAGGCCCATCAGTCAAAATGTCAACGCTTTTTGCAAATACAATTCAGTATAATTTTGATTTAATTATTAGTGCATGTTTAAGTACAAGCTACATGTGCTAAACCAAAATACAACAAACTTTGATTTAAAGCTTTCGTGACTGCAGGGATTCATATTCTTGGTTCATTCAGTAAAGTCACGTAGAAGGGAAACAATAAAATAATTAAAACATATTTACTTTATTGTTTCCCTTCTACGTGAATTTACCGAAAGAAACAAGAATATAAAAATACAACAGTGTATTTGATGAATGTGTTGAGTTTCGCTGTTAAAAGTTCATACGATTGGCGGAGATCTGAGTCTGGAAATCATGCATTCTGCGGCATTGCCATAGACTAGGCCAACCATCGTTATTTATTGCCATGTAACATCCACAGGCATTATTGCATAACTCATAATGATAACAGTCTCACCAATCCCAACAAGGCTGCCCCAAGAGGCAATAAAGCATATGGTCTGTCTGTTAGCTTATCACACAAAGCCTAGAAACCTAATCGGGTCTTATGTCTGCAAAAAAGCACACTCTGTCTGCTCTAAGTCTCCCCTGTAGCACTATGGTATCTTGCAATGCAACACTGAGGATTATAATACTAATTGCAATGCCCTTCAATCCAGGAAAGCCTCACTAAGCCTTACGACTTTTAAAAAAAGAGCCCTTACATTATAATAGTTGACCAATTCCATTGTTGTAGGCATGTCCTGTTTATGGAAGGTGAACACTCCACGTAGATCGGTTGATGTGTCGCCATCTGTTCGTGACTCAAGTCTTCAAGACCTGGTCTATTCCCAGGCACTCTCCCATCCAAATACTACTAGCAAGGATCTACCACGTCTAGCTTCTGAGCCCTGACAATCAACACGTTTAGCATCACTTAGTTTCAGGAATAAAAATGACGTTGGCAAAATTAAATAAAAATTCTTGTAAAAATTAAATTATCAATCTAAACTGCCAGCAGAGAAGACCGATTGGGAAATCCCAGTGTCAGACGGCCGACCGCCTGCTTGCCTGAGTCTTCTGGCCTGTACCGGTGGGTGTGAGTTCTCAAACGACAAAGATGTGTTGTAAAACATATTTTAAAAAAACTTTTTTTAAACACGCTTTAATGAAATGTACCCTACTAGTAATGAAAGAACTCCACACGACTCCAGGAAGTGGCCCCGAAGCTTGCCATAACGTAAGGGGACCGTGGTCATTTACAGCCAACGTGAGTTTACCGTGGACAATTAGACCCAAGCTGAAACATAACATATACAAAAGATTGTTTAAAAAAAAAAGTATGATAGAAAATAGTATTGTCATCAGTATGACGTAAGTATACCAAGTTTTCAGTCGACACCACATTGGGAAGTGGGTTTAAATTGAGTTACAGGATTTGAGGATGCAACGACAACAGAGTGAGTTAAGCACGTGCAAAATACTGCACGACCGCCTCTAGAGACGGCTTCAGCAGTGACGAGAGCAATGCCACTCATCGGCACAGCACAGAGTAATTTAGATTGTGTCGCCTTAACAGACTGTTGGGGCAAGTGCTGTTAGCGAGTAGCGGCTGTGAAGGCCGGCACGGCACACGAGCGGGTGGGAGGCCAAGCACCACGCCCGGCCGCCTTTGTCTCTCCCCACTGACCATGTTTACACACCCCCAAAAGTGTACTAATTTGAGGCCGAGTCGACCTAGGGGAAACCCAGGACCGATTGAGAAGAATCGCAGCTGAATGTTTGTTTGGTGGGCCGTGATGAAGCGGGCAAGGGTAACTAACTCGTGGCCGCCGGATTTCGTAGCGCAGCGCGATTAGCCGCTCCACTACACCGCCTCCCCCCCTCCTCCACACACGCAGCGGCCCCAACCCCTACCACCACACACGCTCCACTCGCTGCGGCTGCTCCTCGCTCTGCTGCCTCTATCGGCGGCGGCGGCGGCCGAGCGAGCGGCGAAGCCGAGGGAGACTTTTGACCCCGAGCGTCGACGCTCTCGCAGCCATGCAGGCGCATGCGCGTGGGGACGCTGTCGCTCGCCTGTTCCACAACCGCCGCCGCCACCACCGCCCGGCCACCACCGCCCGGCCACGACTCCGAACCCACAGCCTCCGACGTGGAAAACCACGCGAGCCTCAATCCTCCTCCTCGGTGGGAAACACGCCTCCGCCATGCAGGCAGCTACGAGTGAACCGAGAGGCAGGATCGCGCGTGTGACCAGGCTAGAGAGCTTTAGCGCTTCGCACAGGCTGCACAGGTAAGCGGCGGCTGCGCGGTGGTGTTGGCGTGGTGGTGGTGGTGGGGGAATATGGCTGCGTCGCACGTGGGTTCGCCTGTTGCGTGCGCGCGCACAGTAAGCACGTGTTCTGCTGCTGCTGCTGCACCCTTTCAGTGGCGTGTGAGCTGCGCGTTGCGTCGAGGGCAGGGAGCGTGTCACGTGTGCGGGTGGGCTCTTGGGTTTCAGGACGAGTGGCAGTGTTATTGACGGAACTTGCCGAGTTTGGTTTTCGTTATTCGTTTATTTTTGGGGGGGGGGGGTTGGATGGACGTGGGTTAAATGTCAGCCTTGAACTTTAACCCTTGAACCGACCGACACGGCCAATCGAGGCACGCGGGGCAATCGTGCCGCTTGTGCTTTTGTGATTTTCTGCCACTGCCAAATCGGCGTCACCAAGGAGGCTGCTGCTCGAAACGAGCCACGCGCCCACGGGGGACCGGCCAAGCTATCGGGGACAATTCATCACGTGACGTTTACCCGTGTCAGCTTTTGTGACAGCCCTCCCCCGCGAGAAGAGATTTACAACCGCACAGGACGAGGGTGAAATCAACCCAAACTATATTTCCGAAGGTAAACACAAAACAAATCCCCGAGCGAGTTAAACGGTGCAGTAAATGACACCACCGCTGCGCGTGTGTGGTGTCTTTCAGTTGATTCCCAGAGTTGGAGTTGTACATCTCTTCGCGGTGGAAGCTCTTCGTGACCTGAAAGCTTGCACCGGCATTTCTGGAGGAACAGGACTGTGTCTTGACCCCACAGTGCGGCACGGGGAGTGTAGTCGCAGTCCTGGTGTAGCCAATGGGGTTAGATTTGTGCAGGCCACGTAAGAGTCAGTGGGAGCCCCTGTGCCCTTCTATTATTTGGTTCGTGTCTGGATCAGTAATCCCCATCCTTTTTGGACTGGTGCATCAGTCGACCCTCAACTTGTTTTCGCAGACAACCATGCACCAATAGCATTAAACCCCACTCGAGATCGTCTGCGGCTGCTCCGTGGCCCACTTCCCACAGCCTTAACGGCCCACAGGTTGAGAATGACAGCTCAGGATTTAATCCAAGTTTGAGAGAGTTGCGCAGGATTTAATCCAAGTTTGAGAGAGTTGCGCAATATTTATTGTGCCGTGTTAATATCTCAAAACAGCAAACCCAATTCATTATTAAAAGTACAAAAACAGAAACATTGCCTTAAAATGGGTAAAGTATATACAGTACCAGGTGATGATTTAGACATGCCCCTAGCACATAGATTACACAAAGTAGCTTCACTTTGTAACCAATTGCAATGTCAATCAAAGCTAAAATATAGATGGCATAATAGTGACAACCCTGGACTAATGAGCTGCTGAACATTGGATAAACATCGGTAGCCATGTGTTCTCTGACCAAATGCCAGTGTCGTGCCAACTTCAAGCAAATTATACGATTTATATTGGCCCAAAATACAACCATAATGCATCCAACAATGGCCCAATAATGCCGGTTGGGTAAGGAGTCGTAGATATTTGGAAAGAGACGGAGATTTAAACCTGGCCAGAGAAAGACAAATGGGGCCCACGAAAACGAAAACCCATTCCCACAAACCCCTTTAAAGCTCCTTACGAATATAAAACTGCGGCCTCATACAGCCCCACGAATTCACGTTCACCACTGGCCACGTTGACTCAACGGTCCGATTGGGATGTTTTTTTCAACTGAAGCAACATTGAAATTCAGCAGCGGCGCCGCAATACATTTATGATCACGCTGTACGTAATCTCCTTTCTCGACCTCACTTGCATCTCCCCCGCTCGTTCAATTCCTCCCCACTCCCCTAAATAATCCCACTGCCCCCCCACCCACTCCTCGCCTCATTTTGCCCGCCCCACCCTACTCTAATTAATCCCTCCCCTCCACACACACCCCCCCCCCCTGATTCCACCTCTTAATAGGCCTGCCCTCGATCTCCCTTCTGCCACTCTCCTCATTCAACCCTCTCTGCCTCTGCCATCGCTCCGCGATAGCTCACAATTAAGTATTTTTTTTCTTAAATGTAAACAGTTTAACCTCTTCCGTACGCAGTGCCGCAGTACATTGCCAAACCCTGTAAAGGCGTGGGGTGACCTTGGTAAAGCAGTGGATAGACCTTCGCTAATCATGATGTTCATTTCAAAATGTCACATTTAATATATGGTATTGCCGTGGGGTCTTGGTGAGCAGACTGGACATTCAATCCAGAGGTCTCTGGTTTAAATGCCCGGTGCTTTATGCATTGGTAGACACCGCAGTCGATCGGCAGGCCACGTGTGGCGAGTAAAAGCGTGGGTACCTCGTCCACGACATCTAGCCAGCTTGGAATATGTTAACATACCCAATAGAGAGGCTCTCTAGAGCTCCCTCTAGCGGAGGCCCTTCAGGCGACAGTGGCATGAGCGAGCAGTTACAGGGCGATGTCTGTACATTGCCTTTTTATGACATGACTTCAGCTTGCAATGCGCCGCACAATATTCGCTCCTTCTCGAAGAGACGGAACGACTCGGAGGTGCAAGGAACCAGCTAGGAGCCGGCTACCAACGGCTACCCAAGCGCTGCAGTCCTCAATATATTAAGGCATTATCAGCAAACATTCATACGGAAGGAAAAATGGAGACGAGTCCACGTTTTTCTGTATGGCACCTTGACGCCAACAGAGCTCAGCAACGTGTGGCATCCACCAACAGGCCACTGCATAGCCACCACCGCCCCCGTTGGTGAGGTATAGTACGGTGTGCCATTGCCATGAGACAGAGGTGTTCCATTCTGTATATGGATTACTTTTATTTTGTTTATGGAAAAAGTAATGCAGCTTACTTGATGGAACGGTAGACAGGAAAAGTAAGTAAAGTTGGACTGAAATGGGAAAAAAAGTCTGATTACCATATGTGGTCATCTTCATTCTACAAGTCAGGCTGCATTGAGAAAAATCAACGTGGTGTCCACTTATGTCATTACGTTCCCTCCATCACGTAAAATATGACCTCCGGGGGGGGGCTTGTTAGCTAATTTCCGAGTTGGCTTGCCTCGTTTTGAGAATGGGGACGACAGAAGGAGCACTCTGAATTTAGTCGACTGCTGCCACTGCTTTTTGCTTTCACGGTTGTGCTGTACAGCTCTGTCCGATGTGCGTTTTCGGGGTTTGTACGAAGTGTTGTTCAGCATGACGCCAGACATTTCCGCTCTCAGCAGTTGTCTTGCTCAATCGGAATCATAATCTTTATTTATCCTGGAGAAACCCTAAGATGCCCAGCAGGATCGGGTCAGAAAAAAAAAAAAGTTCTGCTACAGTTCAACGTAGAAGAAGCATGCACAAACACACACATATTCACGTGTGTGAGTTGAACGGAACCTTACTCTTTGGTTCTATTGGGTAAAGTCACATAGGTGAAAATAAAATAACAAATAAATTAACAAAAAATCACGACGTTTCGACCACAACACAAGCGGCCTTCAGGTGAAGGGACGAGACTGTCAGGAGGACAGCGCGACTTTACCCAATAGAACCAAAGAGTATGTATCCTAGCAGTCACGAAAGCTTTAAATCTAGAATTGAACGGAGCCTGATTGATTAGCAGGGTGAGTGTTCTGACGTCAGGACGCACAGCCCCGATTGGCCTTGGCAGTCCCCCACCCCCCCCCCAGCAGCTGTGACACGGTCATGTCAATCAGTTGGAAATTTCCACCTATCAGTGGAATTATGCAAAAGCCCCGTATTCTGCAAAGGGCAGAAAGAACACAGCCTCTTGAACTGTCTGCGTGCTGCATCTCGCTAGGGGATGAATGGCAAAGGATTTTTCGCCAAGTTTTTGGACGAAAACTACCGTTAACAAAAAAGGCCCATTGAGAACAGGAAATGGAAGTCCATGGATAAATAAGCCAATTAATTACTGGTGAACTTGCCCAAATTGAACGATTTACTATAAATTGTGACTGTGTGGGAATGGAAATAGATGTTTAGGCTTAGCTATGAGTAGGTAAGAGGTAAAGGCGCAGCCCCTGCCATTTGCTTTCTCATGCCACTGTTGGTGGAAGGGCCTCCACTGGAGGCGTTATTTTGGCTCTACTATTCTACGCTGGCCGGACATCTGGCAAGAGGTGAGAGAACCCACAACCTGGTGTACCCACTTAGACAGCTCGGCAGACACGTCATCAGAACATCATGAAAAAGGTTACAAACGAGATGGGGCTATTCAGTCCATCCAGCTCATTAGTGGCAGTAAACAACAGGAAGCTGGCAGGCAGCCAAAAATTGCCATGCTTTGTGCTCTGCCTATTAGAGGGGTGAGGGAAGGGAGATACTTTCTATGGTCCTAATTGAGCAATTTGAGGGTATTTTTCCAATTTTGCCAAATTTGGACCATCACGTCGGCATACAATGGCCTACTCTTAGCAAAGAAAAACAACGTGGGATCTTTAACATCCACTGTGAAGCAGACGGGGCATATATATTTATGGTTGTTACATGCAACGCAGTATTAATCAGGGCGGCCGCTGGATTTGAACCGCCAAACGCAGCTCTCCGCCGGGCAGCGTCTGCTGTCGCCCCTTTTCACGCGTGGCAGAGGCCGGGGCATTGGAAGAAATTTGTCAATGGTTTCAACTGCCACTCCGGGAGATCAAAGCGATTGAGCCCTGGATTGAAAGCCGGGTGCGAAAACTCTGGCTGTCACCTGATGACGCTAGTTGTATTTACTGGCGAAACATCGCGATACTCGAATTGTAAATGTTGTGGGTTTACTCTCCCAACACACCGGTGTGCTGTACTGGTAACAAATTGGCACGTTTTGTTTACGTGACAAACCTTTTTAATTGGCTGTGTCGGATGGTGGCGGGTTTATGGACGCTTTCATACTTACGCTATCTAACCCAAAAACCTCTGATGGATGAGCCATGTGTGTCAGCCGTTGCATCGGCTATGCTATGAATAGCGTGCTTTATTTTGTATGCCCTTGCTGAGCGACAGCTGTCATATATATATCCACAGAGAACGTATATATTTTTTTTTTTACACTGCAAACCTCTGCTTGTCTGTTCAATCTCAATGCAGCCCACTGCTCTCGGATGATGAAAACCTCAAAATATTCGGAAAGTGCAACAACCATAATGGCCATGGCCACAACTATAAAGGTACCGTTGGAGGTTTGGATTAATTTGCAATGCACATTTGCTGAGATATTTCTGGGAATTACACTAAATTACACGATGTACTCTGCAACATCGTGGCAGAGTAATTTTTTTCTTGTTTATGACCCACTTAATATTAGTTTTCATAAGAACCTAACAAAATATCAATTGCACCGTATAGAATCTGTTATTAATTGCATCAAAATAATGCCCTCGTGGTCTAGGTGTGGCTTTACAGTGCCTTATCAGTCAACATGTTAACACGTAAATTTTACGTATATTTCATATGATTACAATATTAACTCAATCATCCAAGGGCAGATGATCCAGTTTGCAGATTAACCGTGCTTGAAATAAAAAAAATGTCTACGCGCTCTGTTTAGATTATAGCTTGTCCCTACTTGTCGCGGGCCCATCACTCGGTGCACTGCATCAACCGATTTCTCGAAAAAGCAATCGAAACAGACGACACATTCTAAACAGATGACACATCCATGCTACACATCTCACTTTCCTTACACTTGCTATTCACGTTTTCATCTGGTTCAAGCCTCCCCCCCCCCCGTTATCCCAGATGATTGAGATTTGACTATTATCGTGGTTATTATATATGCAAAATCATTCTGGTTTATGAAGATTCTAATTTGTGTGGGGGGGCATTAACACCCGAGACCTTTACATCATGCACCGTGTCTTGAGCTGGAACCGCCGGCATTATTTACTACCATTAAAACTTCCACGAGCACGTTCACATAACTCACAGTGATATACTATTGTACAGGTTCCAAACAACCCTGCCACGAAAAGGCATTGAAATACGCAGCCTGTCTGATGGCATATCACACTGAGCTTACAAACGAGATGTAAAGCTGATAATAGGTTTCTCCCCTTTTTTCTGGCACCAAAACAGGTGTTCAAATATATATATTTTATTATTTTATTGTTTCCCTTCAACGTGATTTTATCGAAAGAGCTAAGAATATGAATTACTGCAGTCCGAAAGCTTTAAATACAAATTTAGGTGTTAAAATGTTAAAACACCAAACTGAAACCTTTTACAAGGAATCCTGTCAGTTTCAAAGACAAAGCATATATTATCAGTGTGTTTTTTTTGCATTCTGACCACAAGCATTGTGGTTAATGCAGACATGATTCCTTGTAAAAGGTTTAAGTTTGGTATTTTAACATCTTAACACAACTGTTTTGTTGCCATAAAAAAGGGGAAAACCTATTCTCATAGTTTGGTACTGGCAAAGGACGTCCCATGATGTAGATGTAAAGCTGCTTTTGTTTTTTCACCCAGCGCAAAGCACAAATTGTCAACTTGTGCGGCCTAATTCTCTGCTGTTGTAGAATCACACGCAAAAAAAAAACTACAATTAGCCAAGGCCCTTTTAATATTTTTTTCATCTGTGACTTTCCACGATTTTTTTACCGCAAAAAAGTGGGAGTGAATTTGCGGTATAACCCCGTGTTATAATACGGTTCCCCATGTTCACCCCCCCACACTGCTGTGGATACGAGCAGCTTGATTGTTTTTCCAACGCAATGAAATTTAGAATATTGCATTGTGAATTTGGAACTTCTTTCGCACCATACGTAGCCAACCGTGCTAATTGGATGTGCGGAGGAAGGACAACGAACTTAACACAAAAATCAGTTCTAAAGAAATTAGTTTTAAATCTCGATTTAAAAGTGCAGAACTCCAGTGAATTCTTAATATCAGAATGAAGACCACATTTATGCAGATTATCGTTTTTTGCCAGAGTGATGGACCAAAAATGTAACAAGTAGTTAAAATACGGTATAAATCCCTCTGCTCAAAATTATTTTTCAGTTAATGAGCATTATATTGTTGGTTCTTTCGGTAAAGTCACGTAGGGAAACAATATTCTTTTGGTAAAGTCACAAGGGAAACAATGAAATAATAAAAATATAAAACAATATTTTTTATTATTTTATTGTTTCCCTTCTACGTGGCTTTACCGAAAGAACCAAGAATATGAATCCCTGCAGTCGCGAAAGCTTTAAATCAAAATTTAATGAGCATTGTTTTTTTTTCAGTTGAAGTCACTGTGCGTGGAAAGGTAAGTGATAACAACAATATAATCATTTACAGACCTCTTGTCAAATTTCTGCTGGATTGATGCCACGTGAGGGGGATTATTTGTGTGTTTGACCATACTTCACCAAGCTACTCAATATGGGTTGGTGATGTGGGGATGCCCAGGACGGTTCAGATTGTCACTCGCCACTGATGTCAGCCGTGACCGGGAATTGATATCAGAATGCCGGGTTCACGGAACAGTGCGCTAACCACGATGCCACTGCTCTATCCATCACATTAATAGCCGGGCTGCTTTACAGCTCCATGAACTGCGTGCTTGGCGGACCCCACAGTGGTTGGTGGGCACCTGAGTGCGGGTCGGGTATTTTTACTAAGCCACAGCAACCTGCGTGGTGAAATATGGTCACATATCTTTCTCCCAATGACAGTGCAGCCTGCAGCTGATCGAACCATAAGCGTGACGCGTGGTGGATGTATGAGTAAGCGATAAATTGCAGGATACCTTAATTTGAAAAGTGTTACATACGATGCATAGACTCCATCTGATCATTAAATCTGGCGAAAGCCAGATTTGTGGCTATCGCCTGATGAAGCAAATTTTTGATCACTGGCCAAACGTCGTATTTGAATTGTAAATGTTGTGGGTTTACTCTCCAACAAACCGGTGTGCTGTACTTGTAACGAATTGGCACATTTTGATGACGTGACAACCCTTAGTAATTGGCTGTGTCGAGTCGTGGCGGGTTTAATGACTGAACTGCTGGCCCCTGTAGTCTGGATCTCCCTTTTCCAGTGTGAGGCCCCTAGCCCTGCTTAAGTCCAGACTCAGGTCTTTCCCGTTGAACTCGGAGAAGTAATTGAAAGAAATACATTTGTAAATGATCGTCATCAATGATGGTGAGGAGGAAAGGGGAGAACTCCAGACTCGTGAAGTATGGAGAGTCTCTGGTCGTTATAGAGGAGGATAATGATGATTCAAGTCTCTGTGTGAATCAAACATAGATTTTTCAGGTTCGAGAGTTGATTGGATAGATTTCCCAGCTCGCATTAAGGCCTGTCAGAACACATGGCAATGTACAACACTGTGAATGATTTAAAAGCAACCACATGTATCTTTTGATTTAAAGCTTTCGTGACTGCAGTAATTCATATTATTAGTTTTTTCGGTAAAGTCACGTTGAAGGGAAACAACAAAATAATAAAATATATATAAAACAATAAAAAATTCTCACGACCATAACTCAAACGGTCGTCTTCAGGTGTGTTGGTTTGCATAAATTTATTTTTAAACGGCGCATTTATTTACTTATAAAAACGTTAGCGCCACGCGCAACGATTTGGCAGTTTATTTCGGCGCTAACGTTTTTATAAATAAATAAATGCGCCGTTTAAAAATAAATTTATGCAAACCAACACCTGAAGACGACCGTTTGAGTTATGGTCGAAACGTCGTGAGAATTTTTTTATTGTTTTATATATTTTTTTTTATTTTGTTGTTTCCCTTCAACGTGACTTTACCGAAAAAACTAAGAATACACATGTATCTTTTTATTATCATTGACATACATTATTGGCAAGTGCATTCTCATGTTAAGCTTCTCCTTTGTTTAGATTGACCATGCCACTGGAATGGTCATGAACATTGTTGACTTAAAAGAGGCTATGCAAGTGAGTATACTGTAGTCCGGTAATATTTTACACTTTTCTTTTAAATCATCAGCAGTCATGATTCTTTCCACTGCTGGATGAAGGCCTCTCTATGCCGTCGCCATCCCTCACAGTAGCTTGTGGTGTCTTAGTTACCATGCTGGAGTTGCCCTCCAGAGGTCGCTGGTTGGAGCATGTCTATTAAACCCCCCTGCACACTCTGCCTCTTGTGGTGTGGTAAAATGTGAGTACTCTCACCTCTTCCAAGATGTCTTTCCAGCGTGGAAGAGTAGGCCAAAAATACCTTCTAGGGGTACTCTCTCGAACCCTCTGTCGTTGGTGCCCCTTCTGCCAGCATTGGTGTGAGCGAGTAATTGCAGGGCTACACCTTTTACCTCTGTGCAGTGACGTGTATGGAGTCACTCTAGTGTAGCGCCATTTACCGAGAGAAGAGTGGAACTGTATGTGTAAAGCCTCTCTCTAACGCCAGAGTGAGTATGGCATGGAAGGGCTCCCGAGGGTGCATAGTCCTGGTGACAGTGAGAGAGAGAGAGGTCGGGTGAGGACGTGACAGTCTGGGTGAACCCGAGAAGGCATGTGAACTGACGAGGTGGCAAGGGGGGCCCAAAAGGAGGTGAGAGGGACACGTGATGTGGGGCCAGAGTCTTCGGGAAGGATCTGGAAATGGGCGTGGCCAAGGGCGGTGCCCGGCCATGCCGCGGCCCATAAAGGCCGAGTCCCAAGCCCCGATCGGGGCTGTCTCTGGGAATGGAACCCGCCGGGCTACGTCTTCGATCTTCGGTCTTCGCGCACGGCATCGTGGACCAGGCAGTGTGCTAACTGACCTGGTCCGAGTATTTAGTTACCCTGTTGTGTTCAGAGTAAACGTGTTGCCTCCACGTTCGAGTGTGCGCCTCTGTGGAACCCACTACACCTATATAATGGTTTCAGTGTACTAACCTGCAATGTTTTTGGCTCGTCTGCAGAGAGCTATAATGAACCCAATGGACCACAAAAATCTGGACAAGGATGTGCCTTATTTTAAAGACGTTCCAAGGTAATGCAATATTCACATTAGCCTTGTAATAGTGTAAGTGCATGCACACGGTATAATATTTTTTGCGTGATGGCGCAAGTGCTGTGTGTACATTAGCCCTTCAGTAACCATGGATGTCAGAAACGGATTAAAGGCCATTTAATGCATGCATGCGTCTACATAAAAGGAATGGATGAAATGTATGTGTTATGTTTCATGCATTCAATTATGGAATACATTATCTTGGTGGCTCTTGTTTTAAAACTAGATGTTTAATAAAACATGGGTTTTTTTCTTAGTCCTGTAGCTGAGAGATGTGTGCCCTCTGCATTTATTGTAAAGTACTGCACTTGAGGTACAAAAAGCCGGGACATGCGAAGACAATAGAAGATTCCCAGTACCGGAAGACGGGAAAGGGACATGTCAACATGTCATCCTGAGTGGTGGATTATTAGGCAACTGACAAAAATGTTACTTTTATTGTGCCAGGAAGACGTGTGTGTATATATATCCCAAAACGGCTTCCTCAAAATGGGAAAAATCAGGACAGGTGGCAACCCTATCTTGTGACACTGCGGTAGTGCCCAATGGCAATTTGAACATTTCTCTTTGTATTCTTGGTTCTTTCGGTAAAGTCACGTAGAGGGGAACCAGGAACATGAATCCCTGCAGTTACGAAAGCTTTAAATCAAAATTTATCTTTGTGTTTTAAATTGACAGCACAACTGAAAACGTGGCGGTGTTTGTTTGGGAGAACCTGCGGAAGCTTCTGCCGGAGGGCTCCCTCTTTGAGGTGAAAATCCACGAGACTGACAAGAACGTGGTGGTCTATCGCGGCGAATGAGCTGCGTGGTGCCACGGCCTCGAAGCAACTCTGCAAACGCCCCGACTCCCCCCTGGCCCCCACACCGAGCACACACACACACAGCACACACACGTAGTGTCCTGGCGGGGGATCGCCTGGCACGATGGGTTTTAATCCTAGGAAGAAAGTCACCCCACGGTTTCCCGGTGCCAGGAGAATGGCCGGCCCTCGCAGGACAAGTCACATTGCGGTGCCCCTGAGTTGGCCTAAAATTGTATCGGCACAAAAAAGTTCACAGGGCCAGCCGCAATGAGTCATTCACGACATCAGGAGGGGCTGGAGTGGACTATTAAGCGAGAAGAGCAGACCATGAGGTCAGGGGATCGCAGCGCCATGATCCCCACCCCCCCCGACCCCCATACGGAATAAACACTCGCAGTGTGTATATTCGCCAGCCGGGCGTCATTCCGGATTAACAAGGGTAATAAATAAATGGGCTGTAATCACAGGCGCACGATTGGCCGCGCGGTACAACAAGTGAGGGTGATAAATAAAAGCGTGTAAAAAGGGAGCCTGAGGCAACTCCTGAGGCACACAGGCTCGCGTTAAGAGATAATCGCCCGCAGGTGCGAGCGCGTCCGTACCCCCCCCCCCCCCCCCCCCCCGCGTTAGCTGTGATGTGCACGGGTGTGTGGTTTAACTCGGTGTGGCTACGAGCTAGTAGCACGAGTGTGTCCCTCAGGGCGCTAGCGCGGGGGGCACGATCACTCGGTCGGCGGGGGCCCGGCGGGAGCCAACCGACGCGGTGGAGGAGGGAGCAGGACGGGTGGACGTCGCGCGCCCCACCTGCCTAGCGAGGGCGGTGGGTGGGGTGGACGTCAGGCCCCACAGCTGCAGCGTGCAATGGCCGAAACAAGAAAAAATGTGCGTGAGCCTCGTTCTTTGCACTGTTGTCATTCGCCGGATGATTTTATCGTGTGACTTTTAGACAGTTAGAGCACCAGGTACGTACAGTCCTGTGATGCGTTGCAAATGTTGTACTGTGTTTTAATGATTTTTTTACACACTTTTATTTTAAAAAGTGTGTAAAAAAATCTCGCCCTGTTTATATTTTTTCAAATCTTTGACGCTTAATGTCTTCGGGTCTACGAAGCCTAAACGAGCTGACATTTTGTACACAGGCTCGCCATCTCGCATGGCAATTCAAGGTTTATTTTAATATTAAGGTCACAGACCCCTCTGTGTTATACTTTACACGTTTTAGAACACTGATGTGGGGCCTGAAGCCAAATGCTGCGTCAAATCGACGGCTAGAAAGGGCCATTCTGGCAAATTGGAAAGACCACGAAACCTCCCTTTGTGGAAGCCGTGGCATTGCACCCTTCTTGCCCTTGCGGGAACAGAACATTGAAGCCACAAGCAGCTTAAAGGCAGGGAGCAGGAGCTCGAAACCAGGCGTATGTAAGTTCATGCAAGGCCAATTGTGCTTAAAACTTATTGTTTTGTTCCCCCCTTAAATGCTCCTTAATAATAACAAAATAGGCCAAAATGAATGGCTTCAAACCAAAGACTAGGCTCAACATTGAGCAAGCTCAGCTCCACTCGGCAATACATTGGTGAACAGTTAAGTAATTTCCATAGAATTCCAAACTGATATCGCTTCTTTACATAGCAGTCTGCACTGGCTGGCAAGCGTTTAATAGCCTTTAAATGAGCACATTGACCAGATTGGACCTGCACATCTTTTAATTTGGACACTGCATTAACAACAGTTTCCCAAGGGCATTGGGAAGTGGCCCGTTGCAGACACAACTGCTATATATGGTACTATTAATGTTGGTAATAGTACTCTTTGTCACACTATGGTCCGTGTGCATCCTTTTTAAAGCTATCCGCAGGTCCGCAAAGGTTGGCAACCATTGCCAGAGAAGTTAAGACATCAGAACGCCTCATGTCTGCGACCCTGTCGTGGGTAAGCACATTTATTTGGCAAGAGGAGTTTTCTTATCATTCTTCAAGTAATTTAGTATTTATTTGCAATAATAGTGAATACTAGGATTATTTTTTTCTGTAAAACTTCTCTTGTCGCCTTGGGTAATATATGAATCGTTGTGTCATAGCGTTTGTTGCTGGTAAAAGTACTGTTTGTCACACTATGGTCCGTGTGCACAAATAATAAAGTGGACACAGCAGACTCCCACCAGCATGTTTTGAACATTGCACAACGCGTCATTTTGCAAAACACATTGAGCAACTCGATGTTACGCCGGCCCTGTCAGTGGCCTTAACGATTTGTCAATTGTGCAGTGTTTGAACAGCCGTACCGCAGTCGCTGTGCTTGCTGCGCCCGGCATGCCCAGCACACATTCGCCACTCTCTGCCCGTGTGTGTGCCGTGTGTGTGTGCCGTGTGTGCACATTTATCGATGCTAACACTACTTGCTAGGCCTATGCTGGTGTAAGGCACGTGCCCTTTGTACCCGCATGTCAGCGCGTGTTTGTGTTGGCATATCGTTACATTTTTTGGGGTGATCTGTTTGGTTTCTTAATGGGAGAGCAGTTTAGATGTTCTTGAATGTTCTGTCTCTCTCTCTCTCTCTCCCTACTCCCCAGCTTCAGAGTGCTTTGCATATGTGCTTTTTTTAGCGTTCATGGCTGACGTCACACTCAATACACAAACCGAGGATTTGTTTTCCTTTGGGGCCTAAACACCTAAAACGCTGTGCCACACTAAACGTGTACAAACAGCATGCCCGCCGACGGGCAGCACTTTCTTACCGGCATCATGCAAAACCACGAAAGGAGGAGGCATCCAAGCGGGGTAACGTTTGCAAAAACGTGCGGACCCCTCGAGAGGAGACTTTGAAAGGGGAAGAAAACACTAACCAGAGCAGAAACACAGTCAAATAAGTGACAGAAACACAGTCAAATAAGTGACAGAAACACAGTCAAATAAGTGACAGAAACACAGTCAAATAAGTGACAGAAACACAGTCAAATAAGTGACAGAAACACAGTCAAATAAGTGACAGAAACACAGTCAAATAAGTGACAGAAACAGTCAAATAAGTGACAGTAACACAGTCAAATAAGTGACAGAAACACAGTCAAATAAGTGACAGATAGCAGAAGGGCAAAGTTTTTTAAATAAATGGGGAAGAAAGTTAGACAACAATTAACGAACTAACCAATATAGTTTGTTTTATATAAAGCAGAGAAAAGATAGTCACAATCTCATCTCGCTCACTTGGTAAAGCTTCCCTTTATAATTTATTAAATTATTCTCACTACCATTGATTAATGTGCACGTGATTGCGAAGCAGATGTGATGGGGCCTGAATATGCCTAGACCTGAATCTTGGTTGTCATGTGACGATATTTTGTATGACATGGTGAAAATATGTAATTGTATTCGTGTATTAGGCTGTCATATGAAGTATGTCTTAAACACAGTGTTATCTTGTCAATGTGACGATAAATTTCGATTTAAAGCTTTCGTGACTGCAAGGATTCATCTTCTTTGGTTCTTTCGGTAAAGTCACGTAGAATGAGAATAAAATAATAAAATAACACAATAAAATTCTCACGACGTTTCGGCCACAACACAAGTGGCCTTCTTCAGGTGAAAGGAACAGACCTGTCGGGACGACAGAGCTTCGATGAACGTTGTTAAGATTCGTAGCGTCTTTTTAAGCTGGTTTAGAGACGTGAGGCACCTTGACAAAGGGGTTTACATATCAAACAGGAGCATTTAGCATTGAAATAGCTGAGTGATTAGCTTGTGACTGGTCATAGAAATAACTATGTTAAAGTCAAAGCTTACACATCCACAACGTTCATTGAAGCTCTGTCGTCCCGACAGGTCTGTTCCTTTCACCCGAAGAAGGCCACTTGTGATAATAAAGTATTAAAGCTTTCGTGAGGTGGTCCTTTTTTGAGCTGCCGTTTTGTATGTGTAAGATGTGCGTGTTTGAGCTGCCGCTCTCGCTCTGGCCCCTCCCCCCCTCCAACCGTATTTCCTATTTAAGCTTCTGTTCATCCCCCCCCCTCTCTCTCTGCCTCCCTGTCCGTCTTTCCTCCCTCCTTACCTCTTGGTGGACTTGTATATGTATTTCTACTGACCGTGTACCTCGTATTTTTCATTCTATCTATGCTGGTGTGTGCAATCCAAAGGTTGAACACGAAATTTAACACTCTTCTGAAATTCGTGGTCCGCCAGGAAGTGTTTAACTGTGTTGTTGGCCTGACTGGATGTGCTTCACATAATGTTTTTTCAGGTTTGTTGAATTCTCGTCTCTCATCTTTTTGTTGTATTTACCTCCGTGATTTGTTCTTGACACCTGATGAAGATCGCTTGCGTTGTGATTGAAACGCCGTGATTGTTTTACGTGACTTTACCGAAAAAACCAATGAGTAAGGCCACTTGTGTTGTGGCCGAAACGTCGTGAGAATTTTATTGTGTTATTTTATTAATTTATTATTTTATTCTCATTCTACGTGACTTTACCAAAAGAACCAAAGAAGAATGTGACGATACTCTATTTTTCTAAATATATTGGAAAATATTGATACGTTATGCTCACGTGATTGCTTTAAATAATATATTAAATATTTATTGAAAAGATCTGTAAAATTACCTTGAAAAATGTATTTGTGTCGTAATTATAACGTTTTGTGATTAAATGGACAATTATGATTAAATGTATGATTAAAAAAATGGGGTTATTTCAAGTGGTACCTGTAAACTTTGTTTACTGATTTAGCCGGGCGGTGGTGGCTATGCACGTGACCTGTGGTCCAGCCCTGTGGAGGAAGTGAAGTTTGGTGGATCACACGAATGTCTGAAACTCGCTGAACCTCAGGATGAAAATATTTAATAGGTTCCAAATATATCTGCCTTGAAATGGATGTCCAAGACGTTAATGGTAAGGCTAAGGGGGTACAGTGTTATCTTCGATGGACCAAAATTAGTTCGAAACATTTTCACTTTTAAACAACATTTATCTCTCTCTCGCCTAAACATTGATGTTTAATTTATGTTGCACATTATCGACATTTAAGGATAACAACATGTCTCGGACCACGTTTGTGAACACAAGGCAGATCTGAAACACGGTAGGACCAATACCTCTGCCGTTGCCGATCATTGTTTTAACGCTGTGGGCTCACACGAAATAGATTTTTCCAAGACGGAGGTACTCTGCAAACCTACCGGCTACCTTCAGAGATTTGTTCATGAAGCCATCCAGATATATAAACACAGCCACAACTTCAACCGACAGGATGGGGTACAAACTGAGCAATCGTTGGAAGGATGTTATTAACCAAGTAAAGTCTTAACTGACTGTGATGTTTCCATCCTACCTGCCTATGTCAGCTGTTATTTCATGCTAATCCCTCACATTAACATAGCCACTTCCGTGCCCTCGTCTAGGAGGCCACTCTCCTATCTTACAGTTACATGCTAATCTCTCACATTAACATCATGCTGATTTCTCACATTAACATCACTAGCCCTGGCCACTTCTTTATGACCCTTGGGGCTACACTCATTTCAAACCTTTTAAAACAGTCTGCCTCAGCAGCAGACCACGCTTTCCCACCTGATGACGGACGCTTGTGTTGCGTTATTTTATTTTCTACCTACGTGACTTTACCGAAAGAACCATTGAGTATGGATTCCTGCAGTCACGAGAGCTTTAAGTCAGATTTAAGGTCAATACTGAAGAGTTACTCAACCAAGAAGCGTCAAAATTATGTTTCGTGTGAAATAATAAATTGGGGGTGGGGGGGGGTGTAGGAGTGTGTGCAGTAGGAACCCCCACATCTCGAGTGGGATTCCTAGCCACAGGCAATGTCTGGTGAGCCAGATGCAGATGCTCGAAGCACGAATTAAACATTTATAAATCTCCGGTGTGCGACTCTGGTCACTCAGAACGTGATATTTAATGTATGACTATACTCTGCCCGATTCACATACGAAGGGAGGCATCTTATCTTACAAGAGCGCCTTAGCACGAGGTGCTTTGCATCGTTTTAAAAGCGGTAACAAAAACAGGGTGGCTTGAGATGGCGTGGGCGTGCAAGGGCCGAGGAACGAGTTGACCGTAACAGAGGACACGTGGGGGGGGGGGGTTCAGGGCCTGGGAGGGATGGGAAGGAGTGGAGGGGCGACGAGAGGAAGGCAATGGGCAAGAGAGTAAAAGAGCTCCGCTTGGAGAGAGCAGACGTGACAGCGACGCACTCTGCGACTCCTGGCGCAATCATCGGGCACGACTGCCTCCACGTGAAATTCCAGTCGCGGCTCTACATCAGCGTCAGCCGTACGGAGAAGAGGAAGAGGTGGTGGTGGTGGTGGTTGTGAGTGCTTCCTGCACTGGTTCTGGGTCCACAACCCCCTCTCCACTGCACGCACCCCTCAAACCCGCACCGACTGACGTTGCTCAGTGTGTGGTGAAGCCACAGTGACTAACGCGGGATGTAATACCCCCACTGTTGGGGCGAGGGCTTGGTGGATCACACACGTTCCTGAAACTCCAAAGCCCGCTTGGCCGTGAGGTGCCCAGGAGATGGCAGCAGAGCAGATGGATGGAATCAATCTGTGCGGCGCTTTCGAGTGTGAATTCGTTACATGCGTGGGCCTTCCTCGGAGTGCAGCACGCTCTTTCCACGTGCCGGCCACTCTTCAGTGGACTCTGCCAATCGTTTCCAGCGAAGAAGCGGCCTGAAGAATGGTTGAGACTTTGATGAGGATTTTTCGATACACTAACTTAGCGATGATATACGAATCAAAACGTATTGATTCCCTACACACGCGGTTCAATACGTGTGTCGTAAGCTGATTAATGATGGGGTTTTTTTGAATATAGATTTAATCGATTGTGGACGCAACGCTACACATCCTTGCATGCCAGTGCTGCTTTCACAGGGTGCTGCATAGCGATAGCTGCCACCGGGGGTCCCCTAGGCTCAGACTGCCGAAGGATGCCTTACGTGCACTGCATGGGAGGTGCGGTATACATACGTTGCGAGCGACGATGATGATCATGATGCTGTCGGCGACCTGGAACACTCGTTTCTGAATTCAAAGTCGTATTTTATGTTTTAATGAAGGATGTTTAAACTGTATCCAACGGTTAAACCAATGTACTAAATGTTTTTTTCAAAAAGCACCTACGAAAAGTAACCTTGACATTGGGTACATTTGTGTCACCCCGTGTAAATAAATGCGAGGTTTCTTTAAGATATTAATGTTTTTTTTCCTCGTCCTTTTTACTTTATGCTGAGATTTGGTATAGATTTGGACTCTGGAAGTAACTACATATTTATATATAGCTCTCATTTTAAAATATGTTTTCCAATGTCTCTCATCGTGTTTAATGCTGCAATGCACTGTATTCACTGTCAGGAAATAGTGACCACTCTCACGAATATTTATAAATACTACCTAGACAGGGTGCTGTGTAGAGTGGCAGCACTGTGGTTAGTGCATAACACTGCGGAACCAGTGACCTGAGCTGAATTCCCGGCCACGGCCAACATCAGTGGCAAGTGGTGACTGAACCCAAGCTGCCCCTCCCCCACCTGCCCCTTGTTCAAGAACCCACACCAAACCCACGCTCACCAAACCCACGCTCGCCAAACCCACGCTCGCCAAACCCACGCTCGCCAAACCCACGCTCACCAAACCCACGCTCGCCATACCCACGCTCGCCAAACCCACGCTCGCCAAACCCACGCTCGCCATACCCACGCTCGCCAAACCCACGCTCGCCAAACCTACGCTCGCCAAACCCACGCTCGCCAAACCCACGCTCGCCATACCCACGCTCGCCAAACCCACGCTCGCCATACCCACGCTCGCCAAACCCACGCTCGCCAAACCCACGCTCGCCAAACCCACGCTCGCCAAACCCACGCTCACAAAACCCACGCTCGCCATACCCACGCTCACAAAACCCACGCTCGCCAAACCCACGCTCGCCAAACCCACGCTCACAAAACCCACGCTCGCCATACCCACGCTCGCCAAACCCACGCTCACAAAACCCACGCTCGCCAAATCCACGCTCGCCAAACCCACGCTCACAAAACCCACGCTCGCCATACCCACGCTCACCAAACCCACGCTCGCCAAACCCACGCTCGCCAAACCCACGCTCGCCAAACCCACGCTCGCCAAACCCACGCTCGCCAAACCCACGCTCGCCAAACCCACGCTCGCCAAACCCACGCTCGCCAAACCCACGCTCGCCATACCCACGCTCGCAGAAGGGTGGCGATGGATTGGCATTCACCTCATGCCACCTATCGGTTCCACGCCGGGGACACCGATGATCCAGTGAACCGCAATCTCCGCACTGCTGTTTAGGGAGTCTCGGTGCCGTCACGCGACTCTCCACGTCGCCGGGCCTGCATTCAACGTCGAGGGGCTGTCGGCTGCCACGCGAAGCCCACACCGTGTCAACCCACACGGTTTACCACGTATTCTTGT